AATGTAGACACAAACTTTTTTTCTCACTAAAAAGACTTTGACTTCTATTCATTATATATATATATATGGACTTTTTTCGTCCTTCCGGTAGGGGGTCCTCTAAGGTAACACTAGTTACGAAAATGTAACATGATAATTATTAAAAGTAACATCAATATTAGAGAAAAGTAAAACAAAACAAAAAAAATTAGTCATTTAAAAATTATGTTACTTCTCTCCAACGTCGATATTATGTTCAATAATTTTCATGTTACTTTCTCATAACTACATGTTATGTTGAAGGGACAGTCCTTCTAGAGGAACCGAGAGAAAAATAACCTATATATATACTACTCGTCAAAAAGAATAATTGGTGGCTCGAATTTGTTGATTTTTTATGACCAAATTTTCCATATTTTTTGAGGTAAATTTTTTGATTTGTTATTAAAAATTTCTCCATATTACGTGGCTGATGAGTAATTAGGAGATAATCAAGTTATCCTTAAAAATCTAGTACATATGATGGCATACGTTAGGGAAAAAGATATTAACGGTGAAGAATGCATTTTTGCTATGCTACTAATACTTGTACTTACTTGGTATTCTGCTTCCCCCCTTGGCTAAGGAAGAATTACAAAAGCAAAAAGAGAAATATATATGTATGTATATGGATGAAAGTACATTATATTTGAAGCTTACACCATTAAATATAAGAAATAATATTTGAAGTACATTATATTTGTCTCATTAGAAAGACTTTGACTTGTATTCAACCATGGACCACCTGATTACTGACAGTTGGAAATTAGAACAAATGTAGCTCTCCATTGCATAGGAAATGGGCAAATTCAGACGAAGAAAAAAAAAAGTCTAACCCATAGAATAAGTTGCACCGATTTCTAGTAATACAAGTTGTAAACACAGTAGACACGAACCTTTTTGTCTCACTGGAAAAACTTTGACTTGTATTCATTATATATATATAGACTTTTTTTCATCCCTCCAAAGTAACACTAGTTACAAAAATATAACGTGATAATTATTAAATGTAACATTAATATTAGAAGAAAAAAAATAATTTTAAAAAAATTTAATAATACATCATTCATACATAATATCTTCTATGTAAGGAAAGGCTCGACTTCAAATTTAACTAGAGGATGCTACACTTTTTCTTTTCTTTTTTAAATAAATAATTATTCTTAGTTAGCGAATTTCATCACGTATAGAGTAGGTGGTCTAACGAAGTTAATATATTCCAATAGATTTAATTAACATTTGGAAAAAAGTGAAGCACCTTTTTAATTTTTATACTTCAATTTGGTCATTTGATGTCCCCTTTTCGAAGTACTAATTATTACAAAATGAAATTAATTAGTTGTGAAATTTCTATGCGGAACATGGTTAAAGTCCACTGCTAATTAATGACAATTGGAAATTAGAGCAAATGTACCTCTCCATTGCGTAGGAAGTGGGCAAATTCAGACGAAGAAAAAAAAAGTCTAGCCCATAGAATAAGTTGCACTGATTTTTAGTAGTACTAGTTGTAAACACAGTCGATAAGAACTTTTTTTCTCCCCTGACTTGTATTCATTATATATATATATGGACTTTTCTTCATCGGAAAAGTAATACTAAAAAAGTTAGTCATCTAAAGATTATGTTACATCTCTCCAACGTTGATATAACATTCAATAATTGTCATATTACGTTTTTATAATTACATGTTACGTTAGAGAGACAGTCCCTCCAGAGGAACCGAAAAAAAAAAAAAAAAAAAAAAAAAAAAAAAAAAAAAAAAAACTATATATATAGTACTCGTCAAAAAGAAGAATTGGTGGCTCGAATTTGTTGATTTTTAATGACCAAATTTTCCATTTTTTTATGGAATTTTTTTGATTTGTTATTACAAATTTCTCCATACTACTTGTCTGATGAGTTAGGAGATAATCAAGTTATCTTTGCAAATTCAGTACATATATATGATGGCATCCGTTAGGGGAAAAGATATTAATAGCAAAGAATGTATTTTTGCTATTAATACTTGTACTTATTTGGTATTCTACTTCCCCGCCTGGCTGAGAAAGAATAACGTGACCTAAAATAGAAATATATATATATATTTTTTTTTTTGATGAAAGTATATTATATTTAAAGTTTACACCATGAAAGATAAGAAATAAAACGTCACAACCAATTTGATCAATTATTTTTCAGGCTTTCTGAGCAGATATAGATATGTTTTGTGTTATAGCATATAGTGTTATATCTCGGTTGGTCCTTCTCTTCTTTATCATAAGGTTCGATGATCACTAATGAGTAATAAATTATAATCATCTATATTAATTCTTATTATTTATTAATTAAATAAAAATTTATTTCAACAACGAGGTCTATTATCATTTTATTTTTATATCCCCTAAAATTTTAAATGGGTGCTAATACTCTCAATTTATGGCCAACCATACAATCTGTTATATAAATGTGCAAATGTAGCTTTCCAAACATACCCACGTGTACGTGTAAGATGAACCGTGTTAAAAATTGATCTTCCTACTTTCCCATTTGATGAAGATGGATGGATGGATCATTGTTTGAGGGGGCTTATGGTTGTCAGCTTCATTCAAGGAGAGGGGAGAATAAATTGTTAAGAATGTGTAAACAAAGTCCCACATTGGCAGATCTGGAATTAATAATAATAGGTTTAAAAGGGCTTTGGCTACTCGTCTTATTGGATGTTAGCGACGACATATCATTACAAATATTGAAATGGGTGCGACGACATGTCGTCGTTAATATTAAATGCAACGATAAGTAGTTCAAATATTTTGTTCTCTTTATTGCGACGATATGTCGTTGCAAATATACTGCTTTTAATAACGACAATTGTTGTCGCTAATAATGTCGTCGTTAAAAACTTTTTTTTTCTTATAGTGAGTGCAATTCCCCAACAATAGAATATGTGAGACTTATCAACTAAGACATGACATATGTCACCCTAAACTGTAATGTTAAACTATAACGCACACAATTTTATGGTGAAAACTCTCAATTTGCCTCGGTTAATTCAATCAAATGGGGTAATTAAAGTTATTGAAAATATCAAAAATAGAGATAAGCAGTTTCTAGCAAGAGGTAAGAATATTTATTGTGGGCTCCAAAAAAAATATAAGTTTAATTCTTATAATTATTAGAATAGATACAAGTAAAGTTAGAGTAAAGTTAGAGAAAAGCAAAGTGTTTCTTTTTTTATTTTTCCTTTTATTCTCCATTAATCAATAGAAATTTTAATTCTGAGAAAGTGATAGGAGGTGATGATATAATTTTTAAGAAATTTATATTATCAAGTTTAATTGTATAGAAGAATCTTTCATAGATTCTCAAGAATAATATATTACTCCATACGAAACACTCCCTTAAAAGACATTCTCAATTCCAACATTGATTTTTATGAAATTTGTGGGTTCTGGAAGCAATATTGTTAACGATGATAAGAAAAAAAGTCAACAACTAGAAGTGGAACTAAAAAATTAATGGCGAAACAAAAATGATCAAGATGGAAAAAAAAAATTAGAGGATGTTGTTGGGCTGAAGCAGTAACTTGTACACATTTATTTATTCATTTATTTTCCACGGCAATATATAATACTAGCAAATGAAGTAGAACTAGTTTCAGCAGGGGAAAAAAAAAAAAAGCAAACAAAAAGACAAAATATTGACTGGATCATAAAGCACATTTCCTTTTTATTCTCTTCCTCACTGAAAAGAAATGATGACTAAAGCTTTACTTTTTGTTATTCTAAAAATATGTTAAGAACAAAAAAAAAAAAAAAAAAAAAAACTCTTTGCCGTTAAGTCTTCGCTGCAAACAATAATGTGATCCTACCTTGTATTTTTCGGTTTTTTTTTTTTTTTCGAGACTTACAAAAACATTATAGTGAAACGATCTAATTTTTCAATATATTTAAGGCTCATAGCATCTCAATAAATATGCATCTTCGCATAGCATCTCAATGCACACAACTATATATATTTTAGTATATCCAGAGTTCATGACACACTTGATAAATATTTCTCAGAAAATCATGGTATTCTTTCAGTTGTTGAGTCTGCTTCTCTTCTTCCTTCCTTCTCCATCAACCTCTTTACCTTCTCTGCCTTCTCCCTTTGCCCGTCCTTCGCCACTGTGTCATCCCCATGAAAGCACTGCTTTGCTCCACTTCAAGAACTCCTTTTCCATAATCAATTATAGTTCTTATTGGGCTGAGTACTATGGAATTGCTAATCCTAATAGTACAATGTCTTGGAATACGAGCAGGGATTGCTGCACATGGAGTGGAGTCACTTGTGATGAAGTCACAGGTCATGTCATTAGGCTTCAACTTGGATGCAGCGGGCTTCAAGGCATTATCCACTCCAACAACAGTTTGTTCCTTCTCACTCATCTTCAAACTCTTATTCTCTCCCATAATTCTCTCCATGGTTCTGAAATCTCACCATAATTCGGCAGCTTTTCAAGTATGATTCACCTTGACCTTTCTTACTCTAATTTCAGTGGCCAAATCCCTCTTGAATTCTCTTACTTGGCTCGTTTGATTACACTTAAACTGGGTCAATCTTATGATTTGATTATAGGGAATTTTGGTTTGAAACGAATTGTTGCAAACTTAACAAATTTGAGAGAGTTGTCATTGAGTTATGTCAATATGTCTTCTGTCTCCTCTAATTCCTTTGTGAATTTATCGGATACATTGATATCTCTTGATCTAGGTCATACTGAAATGAAAGGGGAATTTCCAGAAAATATTTTTCTTCTTCCAAACCTTGAAGAGCTCGACCTATCGTATAATTATAATCTCACTGGTTCATTTCCTAGATATAATTGGACCACCCCGCTTAGAAATTTGAGCCTTTCTTCCACTAGATTCCTAATAGATTTACCATATCTTACTAGGAGTTTAAAATATTTGAATCATTTGGAGGTCAGCAATTGCAATTTCAGTGGATCGTTTCCTGCATTAATGCGTGGAAACATAACTCAAATCACTTCCTTAGATCTCTCTTCTAACAGCTTTGGTGGTCAAATCCCATGGGATTCTCTCAATCCGGAGAAGCAGACTTTTTTAGATCTTTCATACAATAATTTTGAAGGCCAGCTCCCTCAAATTTGTAGTAATTCTACAAGGAAAACATTTCTTTGTGACTCTTCAGAAAGTGATAAGTTAGTGGGCCCTCTTCCTTTGAATTTGAAATCCTTGTCCTTATATGGGAACTTACTTAATGGCACACTACCCGCTTGGCTATATTCTCTTCCGTCTTTACAAGATTTATATCTAAGTCACAACCAATTCACTGGTCATATTTGTGAATTCCAGTACAATGCTTTAGAAACTCTTGGTTTAAGTTCAAACAAACTAGAGGGCCATATTCCAAGATCAATTTTTCAGCAAGTGAACCTTCGTTGGATAGATCTTTCATCAAATAATTTGAGTGGTGTCATTCACTTAGAACAGTTCTCAAGACTAAAGAAACTAAAAAGCCTTTCACTTTCTTTTAATAGCCTGTCAGTGGATTCTGTCAACTCCATCACGTACGTTTTGCCCAATACCCTTCGGTATTTGCAATTGTCTTCATGCAATATCACTGGGTTCCCATACTCTTTAAGAAGCTTGAAAAATTTAAGATACTTGGACCTTTCCAACAATAGAATTGACGGGAGTGTTCCCCAATGGTTGTGGAACGTTGGGAAGGATTCATTGTGGAATCTGAATATTTCTCACAACCTCTTAACTCATATTGGGAAAATTCCATCGAAAAGTCTAGAGTATATTTCCCTTTGCTCCAACAAGCTTCAAGGTCATCTTCCAATTCCACCACCTTCAACTTCTCTATTTTCAATCTCAAACAATCAATTGGTTGGAGTGATATCTTCTTTCTTTTGCAACCTTACTTGGATTGAAGTCCTTGATTTGTCAAACAACAGCTTGAGTGGGAACATCCCACCATGCTTCGGAAAAGGAAGCTATTGGTTGAGGAATCTTAAACTCAATGGAAATCAATTGGAAGGGCCGTTGCCTCAATCTTTAGTCAATTGTGAATTGCTGGAAATTTTGGATGTTGGGAACAACAAGCTGAACGGGTCCTTTCCCCATTGGTTGGAATCTCTTCCAGAGCTCCAAGTTCTTATATTGAGATCTAACAGACTTTTTGGTCCTCTAAGTAATCCCAAGGTCAGATTTCCCTTTCAAAAGTTGAGAATCATGGACATCTCTAACAATAATTTCACAGGTACTTTGCCAACAAAATATTTTGAGAACTTCGTTGCCATGATTGATGCTCATTCAGAACGCTTAGAATACATGGGAGAACGAGATGTTGGTGAGTCCTATTATTCTGTGACAGTGGTTATTAAAGGATTCGACCGTGAGCTCGTGAAAATACAAAAACTGTTCATAACCATTGATTTCTCAAGTAATAGCTTCACAGGAGAGATTCCAATAGTGATCGGGAAGCTTAATTCACTCAAAGACCTTCATTTTTCTCACAACAAGCTATCCGGTCTTATTCCACCATCCTTGGGAAACTTGAGCAACCTTGAATGGTTAGACCTCTCATCAAACGAGCTTTTTGGAAACATCCCATTGCAACTAGCTGCGGAGTTGTATCAACTTCAAATATTAAATCTTTCCGACAACAAATTAGAGGGACCAATACCTCGTGGAAGGCAATTCGAAACGTTCAACAATGATTCATACAGCGAAAACGTGGGATTATGTGGATTTCCTCTGTCTAAATCATGCAGCAATGATGGTGCACAACACGATCAAGGTGGTGATGATGACGGAGATCACAACAATGGAATGATTGATTGGAAGGTGGTGATGATGGGATATGGAAGCGGAATGGTAATCGGAATATCTATCGGATTATTGGTTCTTTTCAGCAGAAGCTTCAATTATTGGTTTCACAAAAGATTTGGAGGGGGACGATGTCGCAAAACCAGTGCTCGCTTAAGACGGAGGAGAAGATCAAACTAGCAAGCAAAGGAAAACAGTTGGGCCATGAGAAGTAAAGTAAGTTTGTATTGAACGTTTGCCGTTATAAATTATTGTTTACTTTTATGAACCACATTTTATCAAATTGGCATACCGAGGCATATATGGATCTGATGACAAAGTAAAGTAAGAAAAAAAAATTTTTTTTTTTTTTTTTTTTTTTTTTTTTTTTTTTTTTTTTGCATTTCTGGGTTTTGATGTTGTTCAGGAGGATGCTTGAAGTGTTGTTATTCAAATTGGCATACCGAGGCATATATGGATCTGATGACAACACTATCTTCTTTCATATATATATCTTTACTAGCTATATGAATAAGTTATTTTCTTTTGTTTTCTGTACGAGCTAGTATATTTTGAAAATTTTAATCATAAGTGGGGATTCGGTCATATCCAAATGTTTCGGAGCTTGTATTTTACGTACTTTTTCCTTTCTTTTGCGTTTCTGGGTTTTGATGTTGTTCAGATGCATGAAAAGTGCTGCTGTTCTTCAAATTGGCGTACGGAGACATATATAGATTTGATGACAGCACTATCTTCTTTCATATAAATCTTTAGCAAGGATGCAATATGAATAATTTATTTTCTTTTGCTTACTTTACTAGCTAGCATATTTTGAAAATTGTAATCGTAAGTGAGGATTTGGTCATATCCAAATGTTTTGGAGCTTGTATTTTACGTACTTGTTCAATGGAATTGTCAATTATGGTTTTGTTTAAGTTGTAACATACATCTAAATATACTGAGGAAGTTTATACCATGAATTCCCCAATAATGGAATTAATTAGAAGGGCCAGTTTCGAACTATTAGTGGGTAAAACTCTTTTTCAAATAAATTTATTGCCCACACATTTTTCACAAAATAAAAGAATTAATTTTTTATATTGAGCGTATAAAAAAAGAATATTTCAAGAAATAACTTGTTTGCTTTTTGTTTTTGGAAACTACCAGCATTTTTCATTTTATATTTTTACAATTTTTAGTTGTCTGTCGTTTTCAAGGCTTCTGCTAATTTTTCAGAGGATTATCGTTTGCGATTTCTCAATTGTTTATCTGGTTCTTGAATGTTGTTGGTTAAATCTTTTTCAAGTTATTGTTTTCTTAGTCATACGTTGAATGTTGTTGGTTAAATCTTCATATTTTTACGGACTGTCTTGTGAATTTTTTGCACGTTATATTGTCAATTTTCTTTTGTATTTGTGCAGTAAATCGTTTAACAATTTATTGTCATTTTTTCGTTTATGTGTTGTTCTATTTTTCAGAATTGGGGGTGGAAAATTCAAAATTTATGATATTGTCGTATTTCAAGTATTTTTTTTTTTGTCTCAAATTGTTCTCGCTCAAACTCCAAAAAATTTGGAATTTTCTTTTGAATATGAAATATTTTCATAAGTATCCTATAAATATGGAACTTTTTTCAAAGTGCTGCTGATTTTTCAAAATTGTTTAAAACACCCCTTATAGAAAACCATTCAAAATGCTCCCTACGTCCACTTATGTGTATAATTTTTCAAAAATTGACAGATTGAAATGCAACTATTATGGGACAAATTAGTTTTGACAACTATATTTTTACCCCTCAAATTTGTAAAACTATAATCTTATCAAATTTTAAATTTTTTTAGAAAGAGCATCCTATAACATAACACGACACATGGTATCGGATTAAACAAAAACTATCATTTCCTATACCTCCCAATCCCCTAAGACTATCTTAAGCAATGTTGTCATGTCTTGTGAACCAAACAGGTCGCGTATAGTATTATCTGATTGATTGGTTGATGTTTTTGGTGGTAAATTACTTAGAGAAAATTATTAAAGTGAAAGAGTCAAAGTCATTCAAGTAAGTCAAAAAGATATTTATTATATGTCATGTTATAAGTGACCATAACTTGAGTTTTGCATTGGACATTTCAGTTTTCATTGTCTTCACTAATAGCTTTTCCTTCAGCTCTCTATCAACTTGTGCTAAGTTGCATTTCACCTTATCTTCTCTGGCTATTGTAGGTTCTCACAACAAGACATTTTATGGACTCTATATTTAGTGTACTTTCATTGTCACCTTCTTTCAAGAGTCACTATTGATGAATTTGGCTCATATGATTTATCTGAATACTAATCAATCAATCGGCCAAAAGGTGTTGTCTTTGTAGGTCTCGCTATTTAAAAACAAAAATAATTTTCATCCCGATGAAGATAAAACCTCATCAATCACAAAAATAATGGGTCCCGCTAGGTTGAGTCTAACCTACCACCTAACTAGACCCACCTTACTTCTATAATAAGGCTTTAACAGACCCGTCGAGATAAATAAAAACACTCATTAAAAAATGATGGTCATAGATATGTCCAGGAAACTTCTATTATAAAATTACTACCTCAGAGTCACAAGAAACAGATCCAAGACAACTTTTGATGGCAGTAAGAAAAATCATGAAAATGGCCTCCACTGCCATTAAAAGACTTCTCAAATGAGTTGAAGCACAAAACTTCCATTAATGCATATAGTGTTCCTAGTCAAGCAATTAATTATTTTGACAAAGAAAGATTCCAAAGACATATAGAAAGCATAATTAGACCTTGATGACCAAGTCATCTAGACAAAGACGAAACTTGCATCTTTTTTGTTGAGAAAAAAAAAAAGGACCAATTGCAACGAGAAAATAAGCATATATATTTATGAGTTAGAGTTAGAGTAAATTGCTTCACATCACAGTATTATTCATAGCTTATCTCCAGGGTTGGACGTTTTTAGCATGAGTTTAGAGGTCTCATCGCCAACAATTCTATCACGACTCCAGGCGAGTCGTGGGCTTCCATTTTCTACATCTCGAGGCTACACCCAATTATTCAGTAGAAAATGTCACATTAGTTATAGGAGATAAAGCATATTCATTGTACCTGTCCAACAAGATAAATTAGTTTGAGATACATATCAATGTTGTCATCAAGCCATCGCAATTCTTCGTTGATTCCATCAATAATGTATTCTATAGGTACTTGAGTTGGAGCAAAGAAGAGCTTACAAGAACGTAACAGACGAGGAGAGGACGAAGGGTATTATAGGGAAAAAAACTTTTGCTTTTTTAAGGGAAAAATTAGCTAAATGACATTTTTTAGCATATGTTTCATAAATCGCTGATTTTTCTTAATTTTATTGAAATGGCCAAACTTTTTTTATTTTATGAAAATGGTCATTTTTTAACGAGTCAATCAGTGATTGATTTATAATTTATTAATAATTTATTATTATTAAATTTATAATTTATTGATTAAAATTAATTAACTATTAATTGATTTTTGTTCATTGTTAACTAAAATTAATTAATAATAAGAAATCATCGAGTTAATCAGTGATAAATTAAAGTCAATCATGATTAATCTCTAAGTCAATCAGTGATATACTGATAGACTGCTAAATTAATCAGTGATTGACCAATAAATTAATAAAAACGGTCATTTTTGTAATTATAAAACTTTAGATATTTATAATATAAAAAATTCCTTCAAAAAAAGGTCAATTGTGCTAAAATCACTTTTTTAAAAGCCCACATTACAACAAGAAGAAATGACAGAAAACAAGCACACAACACCATACGACATTCAATAAGTAAAACAACAAGCTACATGAAAAAGCCTTGACGACTACTGAAAACGACATTGACTTAAGAAACAACATAAACATGAAAACAAACCAAAAAAGAAACCCTCAAAACGACAACAATCATATATCGAAAGATAACACAATTTCACATGCACTAGGAATTTTATTGTTTTTAAGTTCAACCCTTAATTACAGTCATTCAGTACAAAAGAAAACTCTTTAATGCTGATTATGATAATGTGAGATTTACTTATGTTATTTTAAGGAGGAAAGGGATTGGTTTAAATTGTGGCTGACTTTGATAATTTGTCTGTCGTTGTTATATTTTGTTTGTCGTTTTCAAGGCTTCTGCTCGTTTTTCAGAGTATTGTTTCCGACTTCTCAATTGTTTATCTAGTTCTTGTCATTTTATAGAATTTTGAGATCTTTTATCAAGTTGTTGTTTTCTTAGTCATGTGTTGTAAAATGACGATATTTGCTTTTCATGTGCAAATTTCAAGTCTTAAATCATCAGTTTTGTAACGATTATTGGCTATTGAATCTCAATTGCTACTAATTTTAAAATTCAGAGTGCAATTTGCTAAAGTTATAAGTTTGAGGTCTATTATACAAAAAAAAAAATGGAGTACAACGCTGCAATTTACTCTAAAAATAAAATAAAAAATAAAAAAATAATTAAAGAAACCCTAAACTATACTAACTTTTTCCACTCCCGTCTATAGGACCTGCCCACTGCCTTCCCTGTTGGCACCACCACCATCCATGATTAAAGACCACGCCGGAACCTCTAGTGTTACATTCCCTCTCGCAGCCCTAAAACACCCCCGCACAACCTCTCTCGTTTTGATTCCGTTTGTTTGGTGCCCTAGCATGCCATGTCAACACTACGTTAGGATTATAGACGGGAGTGAAACGGAGGGGCGTTTTAAACGGTTTTCTACATATTATGGGAATCTTTTGAATGGCTTTAAAAAATTAGGGGCACTTTGCAAAGGGTCCATACTTCAGGGCATCTATGAAAATAATCCAAAAAATATATATTTGGCTCACAGGGACAATACGGTCATTTCAGACGTTTACAACATACCACTTGCCTCTGCCAAACTTGGCTTCACCAAACAAATGCAAGCAGGCCTTCTTTGAGCTTCTTTCTTCAGCGGAGATTTCTCCAACATACATACGGTTGATGATATGCACAAGACTATTACAAACCAAATATCTCAAGTACTGCAATTCTCTCTCTCTCTCTCATTCAGAAAAAGCAAAACAAATCCCCTCTACATACATATATAGATATATATATATAT